GAGGAGCTGGAGATGCCAGACTCCCGGGGGGAGTGAGTGCTATGTGGCACGGGCCAGGAGAAACGTGTGCCAGAGGGCAGGTGTGGGCTCTCCCAGGAGTCTCTGCATAGACCTTCCAGCCCGGAGGTTCAGGTGATGGAGCAGGGACTGGCTGCTTCGTGACACTGAGGACTGTTTTGATTCACTAGTGGAGGCTGTGTCCACACAGAGGCTGGAACGTCGTGTGTCAGGCTCTGTCTGATCCCCAGAGGCGCCCAGCCATGAAGTCCATTTTTAAAGATTAGATTCTCAGCCGGGCACGGTGGCTGATGCCTATAATCCCAGCATTTTGAGAGGCCAAGGCAGGTGGATCACCTGAGGTCAGGAGTTCAAGACCAGCATGGCCAATATGGTGAAACCCCACCTCTACTAAACGTACAAAAATGTGCTGGGTGTGGTGCTGACACCTGGGGTCCCAGCTACTCAGGAGGCTGAGGCACAAGAATCGCTTGAACCCAGGAGGCTGCAGGCTGTGGAGAGCTGAGGTGGCACCACAGCACTCTAACCTGGGCAACAGTGTGAGAGTCTGTTTCAAAAAGACAAAGGTCGGTTTCTTGTACTTTGCCCCCTAACAGGCCTGCTATGGAGTTCAGGCATCTGCTTTCCAGAGCGTCGCAGCTGACGTGCCGGCCCTCAAGCTGGCTTGTCGGGACCCTGGTTCTTCTGGCCCAGTGAGGAGTGACATGTGCCTCTGGGTGGGGACCGCCTGGTCTCCTGGGGCTCTGCTCTCCCAGGTGGGGGCCCGGTGATGGGCTGCAGGGTGGCCCCCACCCTGTGCAACTCAAGGTCTGGTCAAAGACATCATCTCTAGTGCAAGAAAGGCACTCTGAGACAGCAAGCCTGGTCTGCCCAGCACGCCCGAGGCTCTGTTCTCAGGGGCCCCTGCCCACACCGGGCGCTGCAGGGTATCCGGGTGAGCACTGGCTTCTGAGCCTCGCTGCCTGGACCAGCACTGGCTCTACCACCGATTCCCAGTGTGGCCACCCCTGGCGCACTCAGCCTCTCATGCCTCCGTGGTCACATGTCTACTGGGGCAGGGGTGGTGAACTGCCAGGGTTGTCTGGGAATGCGTGGAAGGTGTTTGACGTGGACCATGGCACACAGTTAAACCCTGAGAAAGTGTCCTTGTTGCCCCCGTGTCTTCTCTGTCCTTTCTGTCTAGGGTATTAACTTCCTATTGCTGCGTTAATGACCCAGCCCAAAGCGTGGTCACATAAAACAGCAGAACTCACTCACCCACAGTGTGTGGAGGCAGCGGTGTGGGAGCGACTCAGCTGGGTGCTGTGGGCTGCAGGTGAGCTGAGGCCAGGGCTGCGCTTATCTGAAGGGTTGACGGGCCAAAGGACCTGCCCGTAGGGTGGCCCCCTCAGGGCATGAGGTCAGCCCTTCCACGAAGGCAGGCCCCGACACTCACACATCCTTGTGATGTGGCCATCTTGGGAGCAGAGCCAGGCAGAAGCCGTCCTTTCTGTGACCCAGCCTTGGCAATCACATAGCATATTTCTACAAGGCTGTTGGTCACATGCAATGAGAAGGCAGGCCACGTTCAGAAAGGCAAGAGGACCCTTCCACCTTCCGAGGGGAGGGGCACAAGCAATTCAGGCCCATTTCTAGACCATGACCAGAGCTCTTGTACCCATGGTTTCGGGGGAGCCCAGGGCCCTGTGTCTGGAAGAGGTGACTTAATGCCCCCTCAGTGGAGAACGTCTAAGGGTGGTGGGAGTCAGGCTGGCATCGGTGGCCCTGAGCGCTGTGCAGGGCCTGCATGGAGGGCATTCTGTGGCGCCAGGACAGCGGGTTTCCCGGGCGTGTGGGGTGGGCCTCCATGGAGGGCCTTGCTCTGGGTACATGAATGGCTGCGGTGGGGGCAGCCAGCGGCTGGAACAGTGGCTGCTCTGGGAATGTGGAGGGACAGCTGGTGCCACATCAGAGCCTGCCCTTGTGCCCACCATGGGAGCACACTTGGTGCCCTTCCAGAGGGCCAGGTGCCACATGTGGGGCTTGCAGAGCCACTCAGGAGCAGTGCCACCAAGAGCAGGGGCTGCCAGCTTCCCCTCTGAAACTGTGAGACGTGCGTGGAAGGGAAGGGGGAGCCGGTGGAGTTCCTGCAGAGTCACCGCCTTTGTGTAGGAAACCAGAACAGAAGTCTTTAGCTTAAAATACGCACAGGCACGTGGGAGTGAAAAGAGGCGTGTGTGGTGTCCACACCGAGGGGCCTGTGAGCCTCCGGCTCTGCACAGATTTCATGGTGGTTTGGATATTTTAAATGAGATACTAAATCAAATAAAAATTACGACCTCAAGTTAATCACGATCAAAATGTGGGTGCGTTCCTTCCGGTCTCCGTTCCTTCCGGTCTCCATTCTTCCTCCTTTCTTGTTTGCAGGGGAGAGTGTGTGTGCACGTGGCATGCTTATACATATGGTGTGTGTTGTGTGTGCAACTGTGGTGCATATGAGTGTGTATGGGATGGGGGTGTGTTGCAGTGGGTAGTGTGTGGTACAATGTGTGTGTGTATGGTGTAGAGGGTATGGGGTACATGGGGCAGTGCGTGTGGCTTGTGGTATGGTGTGTGCAGTGTGGTGTGCAGCATGTGTGTGTGAGCATGTGTATGGTTTGTGTGATTTGTGGTGTGTGGGCATGTGTGTGGTTTGTGGTGTGTGTGTGGTGTGTATGTATGGTTTGCTGTGTGGTGTGTGGTATGGTGTGGCATGTGTGTGGTCTGTGGTGTGATGTATGTGGTTTGCAGTTTGTGGTGTGTGTAGTTTCTTGTGTGTGGCGTGTGCATGGTTTGTGGTGTGGCATCTGTAGCGCGTGTATGGTTTGCGGTGTGTGTATGTGTGTGTGGTTTGCGGTGTGGTGTGTATGTGTGTGTGGTTTGCGGTGTGGTGTGTGTGTGTGGTTTGTGGTGTGTGGTATATGTGTGGTTTGCAGTGTGTGTAGTGTGCGTGTGGTTTGCAGTGTGGTATGTATGTGGCGTATGTGTGGTTTGTGGTGTGTGGCGTATGTGTGGTTTGTGGTTTGTGGCGTATGTGTGGGTTGTGATGTGTGTGTGGCATATGTGTGGTTTGTGTTGTGTGTGTGCGGTTTGTGGTGTGACGTTTGTATGATTTGCAGTGTGTGATGTGTGTGTTTTGCAGTGTGGTATGGTGTGTGTGTGGTTTGTGGCGTGGTGTTTGTGGCGTGTGTGTGGCTTGTGTTTAGCCTGTGTGTGGTTTGTGGTGTGGTGTGCTGTGTGGCATATGTGTGGTTTGTGGGGTGGCGTAGTGTGGTGTGAGTGGCATGTATGTGGTTTGCAATGTATGCATGGCATGTGTGAGGTTTGTGATATGTGTGTTTGGTTTGTGGTATATGTGTGGTGTGTGTTTGGTTTGTGGTATACGTGTGATATGTGTGTTTGGTTTGTGGTATACGTGTGATATGTGTGTTTGGTTTGTGGTATACGTGTGATATGTGTGTTTGGTTTGTGGTATACGTGTGATATGTGTGTGTGGTTTGTGGTATACGTGTGATATGTGTGTTTGGTTTGTGGTATACGTGTGATATGTGTGTTTGGTTTGTGGTATACGTGTGATATGTGTGTTTGGTTTGTGGTATACGTGTGATATGTGTGTTTGGTTTGTGGTATACGTGTGATATGTGTGTTTGGTTTGTGGTATACGTGTGATATGTGTGTTTGGTTTGTGGTATACGTGTGATGTGTGTGTGTGGTTTGTGGTATACGTGTGATGTGTGTGTTTGGTTTGTGGTATACGTGTGATGTGTGTGTTTGGTTTGCGGTATACGTGTGATGTGTGTGTGTGGTTTGTGGTATACGTGTGATATGTGTGTTTGGTTTGCGGTATATGTGTGATATGTGTGTTTGGTTTGCGGTATACGTGTGATGTGTGTGTTTGGTTTGTGGTATACGTGTGATGTGTGTGTTTGGTTTGTGGTATACGTGTGATATGTGTGTGTGGTTTGTGGTATACGTGTGATATGTGTGTTTGGTTTGTGGTATATGTGTGATGTGTGTGTTTGGTTTGTGGTATATGTGTGATGTGTGTGTTTGGTTTGCGGTATATGTGTGATGTGTGTGTTTGGTTTGCGGTATATGTGTGATGTGTGTGTTTGGTTTGCGGTATATGTGTGATGTGTGTGTTTGGTTTGCGGTATATGTGTGATGTGTGTGTTTGGTTTGCGGTATATGTGTGATGTGTGTGTTTGGTTTGTGGTATATGTGTGATGTGTGTGTTTGGTTTGTGGTATATGTGTGATGTGTGTGTTTGGTTTGTGGTATATGTGTGATGTGTGTGTTTGGTTTGTGGTATATGTGTGATGTGTGTTTGGTTTGTGGTATATGTGTGATATGTGTGTTTGGTTTGTGGTATATGTGTGATGTGTGTGAGGTTTGTAATGTGTGTGGTGTGTGTGTGGTTTGTGATGTATTGTGTGTGGCATGCGTCATTTGCAGTGTGCTGTGTGTGTGTGCAGCATGTGTGTGATTCGTGGTGTGCTGTGGTGTGTGTGTGCAGCATGTGTGTGATTCGTGGTGTGCTGTGGTGTGTGTGTGCAGCATGTGTGTGATTCGTGGTGTGCTGTGGTGTGTGGTTTGCGGTGTGCTATAGCATGTGTGGTCTGTGATATGGTGTGTGGTGTGTGTCGGCGTGTGGTGTGTGTGGTTTGTGGCGTGGTGTGCGGTGTATGTCTGAGCATGAGATGTGTGTGGTGTGTGTGGCCTGTGCGTCTGAGTTTGAGGCGTGTGTGGTGGTGTGTGTTGTGGTATGTGGTGTACGAGCATTAGGCGTGTGTGGTGTGTGTGGTGTGGCGTGTGCATCAGTGTGAGGCATGTGTGGTGGTGTGTGGTGTGCTGTGCGGCGTGTGTCTGAGTGAGAGGCGTGTGTGGTGTGTTCCCATGAGGGTGCAGGCACGCGCCCCGTGACGCTGCCCCTGACGCTGTCCCCGTCCCCCGTGTCTCTGCAGGACGGCCGTCCTGAGCGAGGGGCCGTGCACCCGCTCCTGAGCAGCGCCATGGGCCTGCTGGCCTTCCTGAAGACCCAGTTCGTGCTGCACCTGCTGGTCGGCTTCGTCTTCGTGGTGAGCGGTCTGGTCATCAACTTCGTCCAGCTGTGCACGCTGGCGCTCTGGCCGGTCAGCAAGCAGCTCTACCGCCGCCTCAACTGCCGCCTCGCCTACTCACTCTGGAGCCGTGAGTGTCTGCAGCTGGTCCCTGCCGCCCGGGGCTCCCATGGGAGTGGGGCGGGACCATGGACTGGGTGGACATGGGCCCTCGGGCGGAGCCTGAAGCGAGGGCTGAGCGGAGGTGCTGGGGCTACCTCCCTCGCGGGCTGTGGGGAGGCACCCGGCCACCACGTTTTCTTAGCCTGAGCCGTGTGACGTGCCAGTGTGACCATTCTGGCCCACAGCAATGGCAGCTTCCCACGGTTACCAGGGCATGTGGGAATCTCTAAACAAACAAAAGTAAAGAGAATGCTGAGCTCTGTTCAGCCGTTGCCGAGCTCCAGCGGCTGCCCACACGGCCATCTGTGCATCGTCTCACCCCGACGCCAGGGCATGCTGAAGCGCATTTCAGCATTCCTAAAAGCAAAGGGCTCCTGCAGCTGTGTGTCTGTCTGTGCCTCCGTGTGTGTGTGTGCCTACACCCAGAGAAACCAGTTTTCACCTGTCATACAGACAGCGACGAAGAAGCTTGGTAACAACACCCACCCCACGTGGACAGGTAACTCTCACGCCGGGCATGGCAGGGGCGGGAACAGGCACATCTCCGGAGGCTGGCTTGGCAGTCGCTGTCAACAGCTGGAGTGGTTGCAGTCTTCAGCTCAGTAATTCCACAGAAGGACATGCAGCCACAGAGACATGTGCACAGATACACAGCTGGACAGGTGTTCTCATGATTGTGTCACTTCATACTAGCACAGAGCTAACAGCACCCTAAGCGCCTGTCACTGAAGACTCACTGTGCCACGCCCTACAGGGACTCTCTGCGGCCATCCCCAAGAGCCTTCGGCTTCCACAGACAGTTTTAAAGGAAAAAGAAAGGCTATGACAAAGTGCCTAGGATGCGAGATTCATTTTGTTTCTTGAGGAAGGAGCTGTGTGTGTGGTGTGTACACATGTAGGAAAATCCCAGAAGGAACCGGGCGCGGTGGCTCACGCCTGTGAATCCCAGCCCCTTGGGAGGCCGAGGTGGGTGGATTACCTGAGGTCAGGAGTTCAAGACCAGCCTGGGCAACAGGGTGAAACCCTGTCTCTATTAAAAATACAAAAAATTAGCCGGGCGTGGTGGTGCGTGCCTGCAGTCCCAGCTACTCGGGAGGCTGAGGCAGAACTGCTTGAACCTGGGAGTGGAAGTTGCCGAGGTCACATCACTGCACTCCAGCCTGGGCGACACAGCGAGACTGTCTAAAAAGAAAAATCCCAGAAGGATGGCTGAGAACGCTGCGCGGCGCTGATCTCCAGGGCGTGGGGCAAGGGGGGTTGTACACGTTATTTCACGCTCCTGCTGTTGCCGCGTTTTCACACGAGCACACGTGCCCTTTGTCTCACATGGGAAACAGTGGGCCTGTAGCCCTTGTCTCCATGTCCTTCCAACTCAGGAGCAGGTAGCACTGCTGAAAAGGCCATTTATGTCCCAGCTAACTCTGTGCCTGCGACATACACTGCCTGCAGAGAGACTGGTAACCCGGCCTCTAGGCCAGCTTGTCTTAAATGTGTTACAGCTTCAGTTCCTGGTTTGTTTTTTAAATAAAAGGCTGCTGCTTTGTTTGTGGGAAGGGAGAATTAGAAATCCTGTGATATAAAATACACAAATGAATTACTCGTGAATGTAACTGGATAAGAGGAATACATACACGAAGGGCAGATGCTAACTAAAGAAAACGAAATTACAGACTCCTACTTTCCAGCAGGGCGCTGAAGCTAAAACACTACAAAGCAGCTAAATCCTGGATGAAACTGGCTTTTTCATGCACTTCCAAGTTCACAGTAAAGGAGAAAACCCTCTCAGCCTCACTCTTCCACCACAGCCCTTTAGCAAAAGCCAGACTGTGTGCGAAAATGGAGCGTCCACACTGCATTTCAGGAGCCGAAGCCCTGGGCAGCATGCCAGAGGGAGCGGACGTGAAAGCAGGACTCCTGGGCGAGGGCATGAGACGAGCCAGGCCAGCAGAGACCCTGGGTTTCAGCAGAGGCAAAACAAAGGGACACTGGGGAAAGTCTCTAATTTAGGCCTGAAGAGTCCCACAGATTCAGGAAAATTAAACGTGAATTCCTAATCAAGAATGACAGTGTAAGCAGCAGATTTAGAAAAAAGACCACCCACAGTGGCCAGAGTTGAGAAAGAACCAACTAGGACTTCTATAAATGGAAACTGTAGATTTTTTAAAGCAAACACTTAGGGCTGGAGTTTGAATGAGATTAGAGTTAATGAGAGAATGGGTGCAGCAGACGTGGATGTGAAGAAATCATCCAGCAACAGCAAAGGAGATGAAAAATGTGAAGCAGGAGTCAGAGGACATAAGGACGGCATGACAGGCTTCGTGACGTAGGGCCTGGCCCTGTCCCCAGAGGAGAGAATGGGAGAAGCCGCATGGGAAGAGACGATGCCTGAGGACCTCCCGAACTGACAGAGGCACGATTCTGCAGACACAGGAAGCACGTGTACACCAAGCAGGGCAAAGGTGCAGAAACCCACACCTGGGCAGGCGCCAGGGCACCACAGACCATCAGAGGCAAGGAGGAGCCGGGAGCGGTGGCTCACACCTCTAATCCCAGCACTCTGGGAGGATCACCTGAGGTCAGGAGTTTGAGACCAGCCTGGCCAACATGGTGGAACCCTGACTCTACTAAAAATACAAATAGTAGCTGGGCATGGTGGCAAGTGCCTGTAATCCCAGCTACTTGGGCGGCTGAGGTAGGAGAATCACTTGAACCTGGGACGCGGAGGTTGCAGTGAGCTGAGATTGGATGACACTCCAGCCTGGGTGACAGAGTAAGACCCCCATCTCAAAAAAAAAAAAAAAAAAATGAAGAGGCTCCGAATGCCCATAGAGGAAAGCTGGAGAGCCACGCTAGACGGTCAGCAGTGAGGCCAACAGCAGATTTCTCATGGCAGGCAGCAGCGGCGGCACACGGTGGAAAATCCTCAGTGTGCTGAGAAATCGCCAACCCAGCGCTCTATGTCGTTCAAGAATGTGAATGAAATAAAAAGGTTTTGGTAAACAAAAAATGAGAGCAAATATCGTCACTTAAATATTTTTAATATTTAAAATACTAAATATTAGAGCTAATATTTAAATCTATCTAAAGAGCTTCACTTAAATATTTTTTTAAGGATGTGTTTCAGTAAGAACAAAAATTATAAAAGCAGGGTCTGATTTTCAAGAAAGAATGGCAGCCAAAGAAATCAGCAGATGGGTGAACCTAAACCCCATGTAAAATAACAAGGACGCCCGGCCGGGCACGGTGGCTCACGCCTGTAATCCCAGCGCTTTGGGAGGCCGAGGTGGGCAGATCACCTGAGGTTGGGAGTTCGAGACCAGCCTGACCAATATGGAGAACCCCCCCCGCCGTCTCTACTAAAAATACAAAATTAGCCAGGCACGGTGGCACATGCCTGTAATCCCAGCTACTTGGGAGGCTGAGGCAGGAGAATTGCTTGAACCCAGGAGGCGGAGGTTGCAGTGAGCTGAGATAGCACCACTGCACTCCAGCCTGGGTGACAGAGTGAGACTCCATCTCAAAACAAAAAACAATGTTACTGAGTTAAAATCCCCCCTGGAAAATGTACAGTTGCGCAGTTCCCAGTTACGTTGTGCAGCCATCACTGCGATCTGATTTCAGAACATTTTCACCCCCAGAGGAAGCCACGCACTCTTTAGGCAGTCACCGTGTCCCACCTTCTCCCCAGCCCTGAGACCGCTCATCTGCTTTCCGGCTCAGTGGATCGGCCTGTTCCAGACCGTGGTGCGCACGACTGTTCTGTCTCTGCATTCAAGGCTCACCCGTGCTGTGGGGCGCGGTATGGCTGGAAAACACTCAGCTGTGGGCACACAGTGTGTACCTGGGTGGCTTCTGCTCTGTGTCTGAGACGAACTGTGCTGTTGTGAAGGTTCAGGTACAAGGTTCTGTGTGGACATGTGTTCCCGTCGTATTCCTGGACACACAGCTAGGAGCGGGATTGCTGGGTCACCTGTTAACTCCACGTGTGGTGAACGCTTGTGGAGAACCACCCAACTCTTTCCAAAACAGCGGCACCACTTTCCACCCCCGCCAGGAAGGGGTTGGGGTTCTGGGTTCCCGCAGCCTCACTCAGGCTTGTTACCGTCCGTCTGCTGACAGAGCTGCCCTAGTGAGGGTGAGGTGGCATCTCCCTGGGATTGACTTGCGTGTCCCTCATAACATATGATAGCATCTTTTCACGTGCCCGTTCCCATTTGTGAGTCATCTGTGGGGAAACGTCTAGTCAGACCCTTCATCCGCATTTTAATTGGGATGTCCATCTAGCTTTTCTGGTGTCTTCCCAGAGGCAGTGAATTCGAAGGTTGCGTTAAGGCGCCCGTGGCTTGCAGGCTCATGGGAGCTGTCCAGCCAGCTCCAGCAAGTGGCATATTCCGCTGACCCTGGCTCTGTCCCCCAGGCCCCATGGTGCTTATGCGACCCTGTCCTTGGAGCTGACATGCTCACATCCTTCTGGGGACCTCAGCGTCCCCAGAGCCCTCACAGGCACACAGGTCTCCTGCCTACAAACGGAGCTCCCAGCCACGAGCCCACCTACGCTCCTGGCAAGCATATCTTCAGCCCACTGGGGCTGGGACCAGGGGAAGACACCAAAGGAGGAGGCTCCGAGACCCGCTGGGTGGGCTGGGGACATGCACTCAAAGCTAGGACTGGCGCCCCTCATGTGCCAGCACACATGGGACAACGTGCGCCTTGCTGTCTTCAGGGACCCTGCAGGACTCTGGCTGCCTGCCCAGCAGCAAGCTCCGCAGACAATCCCCAGCCAGCCTTCCTGGGACTGGGCTATGCCTCACAGGCCTTTTTTTAAAATATGGAAAGCCAGTGTACAGAAAGCGTTAGGAAAAAGTAAACTTCCTGTGACTCTATCATCTGTGATTCCACTCTGCTCATTCCTGTGACTCTATCATCTGTGATTCCACTCTGCTCATTCCTGTGACTCTATCATCTGTGATTCCACTCTGCTCATTCCTGTGACTCTATCATCTGTGATTCCACTCTGCTCATTCCTGTGACTCTATCATCTGATTCCACTCCGCTTTTTCCTGTGACTCTATCATCTGTGATTCCACTCCGCTTTTTCCTGTGACTCTATCATCTGTGATTCCACTCTGCTCATTCCTGTGACTCTATCATCTGTGATTCCACTCTGCTCATTCCTGTGACTCTATCATCTGTGATTCCACTCTGCTCATTCCTGTGACTCTATCATCTGATTCCACTCCGCTTTTTCCTGTGACTCTATCATCTGTGATTCCACTCTGCTCATTCCTGTGACTCTATCATCTGATTCCACTCCGCTTTTTCCTGTGACTCTATCATCTGTGATTCCACTCTGCTCATTCCTGTGACTCTATCATCTGTGATTCCACTCTGCTCATTCCTGTGACTCTATCATCTGTGATTCCACTCTGCTCATTCCTGTGACTCTATCATCTGATTCCACTCCGCTTTTTCCTGTGACTCTATCATCTGATTCCACTCCGCTTTTTCCTGTGACTCTATCATCTGTGATTCCACTCTGCTCATTCCTGTGACTCTATCATCTGATTCCACTCCGCTTTTTCCTGTGACTCTATCATCTGATTCCACTCCGCTTTTTCCTGTGACTCTATCATCTGTGATTCCACTCTGCTCATTCCTGTGACTCTATCATCTGATTCCACTCCGCTTTTTCCTGTGACTCTATCATCTGTGATTCCACTCTGCTCATTCCTGTGACTCTATCATCTGTGATTCCACTCCGCTCCTTCCTGTGACTCTATCATCTGATTCCACTCTGCTCCTTCCTGTGACTCTATCATCTGTGATTCCACTCCGCTTTTTCCTGTGACTCTATCATCTGTGATTCCACTCTGCTCATTCCTGTGACTCTATCATCTGTGATTCCACTCTGCTCATTCCTGTGACTCTATCATTTGATTCCACTCCGCTTTTTCCTGTGACTCTATCATCCGTGATTCCACTCCGCTCCTTCCTGTGACTCTATCATCTGATTCCACTCTGCTCCTTCCTGTGACTCTGTCATCTGATTCCACTCCGCTCCTTCCTGTGACTCTATCATCCGTGATTCCACTCTGCTCATTCCTGTGACTCTATCATCTGATTCCACTCTGCTCCTTCCTGTGACTCTGTCATCTGATTCCACTCCGCTCCTTCCTGTGACTCTATCATCCGTGATTCCACTCTGCTCATTCCTGTGACTCTATCATCTGATTCCACTCTGCTCCTTCCTGTGACTCTGTCATCTGATTCCACTCCGCTCCTTCCTGTGACTCTATCATCCGTGATTCCACTCCGCTCCTTCCTGTGACTCTATCATCTGATTCCACTCTGCTCCTTCCTGTGACTCTGTCATCTGATTCCACTCCGCTCATTCCTGTGACTCTATCATCCGTGATTCCACTCTGCTCATTCCTGTGACTCTATCATCTGATTCCACTCTGCTCCTTCCTGTGACTCTGTCATCTGATTCCACTCCGCTCCTTCCTGTGACTCTATCATCCGTGATTCCACTCTGCTCATTCCTGTGACTCTATCATCTGATTCCACTCTGCTCCTTCCTGTGACTCTATCATCTGTGACTCCATCATCTGTGACTCCACTCCGCTCATTCCTGTGACTCTATCATCTGATTCCACTCTGCTCCTTCCTGTGACTCTATCATCCGTGATTCCACTCCGCTCATTCCTGTGACTCTATCATCTGATTCCACTCCGCTTTTTCCTGTGACTCTATCATCCGTGATTCCACTCTGCTCATTCCTGTGACTCTGTCATCTGTGATTCCACTCTGCTCATTCCTGTGACTCTATCATCCGTGATTCCACTCTGCTCATTCCTGTGACTCTATCATCTGATTCCACTCTGCTCCTTCCTGTGACTCTATCATCCGTGATTCCACTCTGCTCATTCCTGTGACTCTATCATCTGTGACTCCACTCCACTCATTCCTGTGACTCCATCATCTGATTCCACTCCGCTCATTCCTGTGACTCCATCATCTGATTCCACTCTGCTCCTTCCTGTGACTCTATCATCTGTGACTCCACTCCGCTCATTCCTGTGACTCCATCATCTGATTCCACTCTGCTCATTCCTGTGACTCTATCATCTGTGACTCCACTCCTCTCATTTCTGTGACTCCATCATCTGATTCCACTCTGCTCATTCCTGTGACTCTATCATCCGTGACTCCACTCCACTCATTCCTGTGACTCTATCATCTGTGATTCCACTCTGCTCATTCCTGTGACTCTATCATCCGTGACTCCACTCTGCTCATTCCTGTGACTCTATCATCTGGGATTCCACTCCGCTCTTAACTGCTTTCATTTTCCCGCTGTCTGTTCTGTGGACAGTCAGTGGTTGTAATCTGCTTCCTGATCATCTGGTGGCATTGTTCATCTGCCTGCACCTCTCATGGGGCATGGCTGTGCAGGATTCGGCCACACCACAGCTCACGTGAGAATTGCAACTGGGCATACACACCAGCGTCTCCATGCAGAGTGGGAGTTCTCCTCCGTCCTGCCACTGCCTTCCATCTGTCTACTCCCAGCTATGGCTTAGAGAAGGTCATTTTAATTTCAAAAACTGTGATCTGTGTAACTCATCAAGACTCATGTTTAGCAGAGACTTCCGCCCTGGATGAAAATACTGTAGGTGTCTCTGGTGGGCGCTCCCCGACCATCCCCCGAGGAGGGTCCCGCCGGTGCTGACGCCCTCCCTCTGTCCACAGAGCTGGTCATGCTGCTGGAGTGGTGGTCCTGCACCGAGTGCACGCTGTTCACAGACCAGGCCACAGTGGAGCGCTTCGGGAAGGAGCACGCAGTCATCATCCTCAACCACAACTTCGAGATCGACTTCCTCTGTGGGTGGACCATGTGTGAGCGCTACGGCGTGCTGGGGGTGAGTGGAGGGGTTCTGGGAGGGCTAGGGGTGACTGGGGGGGCTTCTAAAGAGGGCTGGGGGTGAGTGGGGGGTTCTGGGAGGGCTGGGGGTAAGCAGGGTGGGTGCTTCTAGAGAGGGCTGCAGGTGAGTGGGGGGTCCCGGGAAGGCCAGGGTAAGTTGGGGGGGGGGTCACAGGAGGCCTGGGGGTAAGCAGGGGATTCCCGGGCGGCCTGGGGGTGAGCAGGGAGTGGGGTTCTGGGGAGGGGCTAGGGTAAGCCATAGGAGTCCCAGGGGAGGTGCTGGGGGAGTAGGGGATTGCTGGGGGAGGTGCTGGGGGGAGATACTGGGTGGATTAGTAGGGGTCCCAGCAGAGGAGCTAGGAGAGCCTTGGGGTTCCCAGGGAAGGGACTGAGGGAGCAGAGGAGACGCTATGGAGGCCCCTGGGGTCTGAGTCCCTGGGTGTTCCTCCAGGGGCGTCTCTCTGAGCTGGGCATCCCCACAGAACTACTTCCATTAGCTAAGCTGCCTTGGATGAAATTCCTCGAGAGAAATTTCATTGCAGTCAAAGCCCCTGTGTGAGGCAGGATCCCCAGGCCATTCCTGGGAAGCCTGGTACCCTCTGCATCCAGCTCAGCCACCCTCCCTGAGGATGGGCCCTCTTAGCCACACCTGGGCCTCAGTTTCCCCACTTCTGGGGCAGTCCACCCACACTCAGAAGCTGGGTCCTCATTCACCACAGACACCCTGAGCCGCAAAGCTGTGACTTGCAGAGTGGCAGCATGCCGGAGCCGGGCACACCGGGAGCCTGCCCAGGCCGCCGGCCCCCTCCAATGCTGACGTGCCGGTTGCCCCACCCTCCTCCCTCCAGAGCTCCAAGGTCCTCGCTAAGAAGGAGCTGCTGTACGTGCCCCTCATCGGCTGGACGTGGTACTTTCTGGAGATCGTGTTCTGCAAGCGGAAGTGGGAGGAGGACCGGGACACAGTCATCGAGGGGCTGAGGCGCCTGTCCGACTACCCTGAGTACATGTGGGTGAGTGCACGGAGCGGCCGATGGCCTGCGTGCCGGGAGGAGGCCACGCCAACCCCGGGTGTGCCACTGCCCACATCTCAGGCTGGGAAACCCCACGAGAGTCTCCGCACATGGGCACTATCTCCCACGGGGCCAGGGCTCCCCCATCCCAGCTGCAGGCGTGGAGGTTTCTCCTGGGCCACCTGCCTGCCACCCACCACAGTCCCAGCTCTGCCCAGGCCATCCTGAGGGGGACCAGGTTAGGGGGGCAGGGGCAAGTGAGCCCGGCTCTGCCCACCTTGCTCAGTCTGTGTCTCCATTCCTCCTTCTGTCCCTTCTTCCTGGTCCGTCTTGGAAAATGGCTGCCTGTGCTGATAGCATTTCTGGGTTTTGTTTTTTGTTCTTTTTTTTTTTTTTAAGATGAGTCTTGCTCTGTTGCCCAGGCTGGAGTGCAGTGGCACGATCTCAGCTCACTGCAATCTCCACCTCCCAGGTTCAAGCGATTCTCCTGCCTCAGCCTCCCAAGTAGCTGAGATTACAGGTGTGTGCCACCATGCCCAGATAATTTTTTGTATTTTTAGTAGTGATGGGGTTTCTCCATGTTGGCCCGGCTGGTCTCAAACTCCTGACCCCAGGTGATCCGCCCGCCTCAGCCTCCCAAAGTGCTGGGATCACAGGCGCGAGCCTCCACTACTGGCTGCTGTGAGCGTGTCTAAGTCACGCTGTGGTCAGTAGATGAAACCCTCCCTGTTTTCACGCTGATCAGAGGCTGGTGCCCCGACATAACATCATAGTCCAGTTCTTTCTGGAAAGTTCTTTCCGGAGCTCTCCTGTGTGAGTGTGTGTGACTGGAGTGCAGGCTGTGGCCCTAGAACAAAAGAACGTTTCAGCCACACCCCTCACTGCTCCATAAAGCGGCACCACGATTTCCACAAATTCAGCCACAGCCTTTGCCGCCTGCCAGAGAGGCGGGGTGGCTGCTCTGTAGAGTGACGGTTCATCTCCGTGTCCACCCTAGTTTCTCCTGTACTGTGAGGGGACGCGCTTCACGGAGACCAAGCACCGTGTCAGCATGGAGGTGGCCGCCGCCAAGGGGCTGCCTGTCCTCAAGTACCACCTGCTGCCGCGGACGAAGGGCTTCACCACCGCGGTCAAGTGCCTCCGGGGGACAGGTAGGCCCCAGACGCCTGAGCCGGGGCTGCCGCTGCGCTCACAGAAAAAAAAATGAGCGCGTTCCATGTGAAACACAGGGTACCAAAAGAGCAAAGGCAGTCAAGTGCGGGGTTAGCACTGGGAGGCTCCCGCGTCAGGCTTTGAGGTGATGAAATAATGATTCATGAGAGACAATTAAAATAATAAAAGTACATAATGCAAAACCTTATGCGGGGAAATAATGATGATGGTGATATCTTGTTACTCCAAAAGGAGTCGAAATAAAAGAAAGGGACAAAGAACAGAAAGCAGCTGGACAGCAGGGTCACACGCACAGCGTCAGTACAGTACACGCAGCGTCAGCACACACGCACAGCATACAGTACACACATTGTCAGCACACACGCACAGTGTACAGTACACAGCATCAGTACACACAGCATACAGTACACACAGCATACGGTACACACAGCATACGGTACACACAGCATACGGTACACACAGCATCAGTACACACAGCATACGGTACACACAGCATACAGTACACACAGCATACGGTACACACAGCATCAGTACACACAGCATACGGTACATACAGCATCAGTACACACAGCATACAGTACACACAGCATACAGTACACACAGCATACGGTACACACAGCATATGGTACACACAGCATCAGTACACACAGCATACGGTACACACAGCATACGGTACACACAGCATCAGTACACACAGCGTCAGCACACACGCACAGTGTACAGTACACAGCATCAGTACACACAGCATACAGTACACACAGCGTCAGACACACACACAGCATACAGTACACACATTGTCAGCACACACACAGCATCAGCACACACACACAGTGTACAGTACACAGCATCAGTACACAGCATACAGTACTCACAGTGTCAGTACACAGCATCTAGTACATACACACAGCGTACAGTACCCAGTGTACAGTACACACAGCATCAGTACACACAGCGTACAGTACACATGCACAGCGTACAGTACCCAGTGTACACTACACACAGCATCAGTACATAGCATACAGTACGCACAGCATCAGTACACAGCATATAGTACATACACACAGCCTACAGTACCCAGTGTACAGTACACACAGCATCAGTACACACTCAGCGTACAGTACACACAGTGTCAGTACCCAGTGTACACTACACACAGCATCAGTACACAGCATACAGTACGCACAGCGTCAGTACACAGCATATAGTACATACACACAGCGTACAGTACCCAGTGTACAGTACACACAGCATCAGTACACACAGCGTACAGTACACATGCACAGCGTACAGTACCCAGTGTACACTACACACAGCATCAGTACATAGCATACAGTATGCACAGCATCAGTACACAGCATATAGTACATACACACAGCGTATAGTACCCAGTGTACACTACACACAGCATCAGTACACACTCAGCGTACACTACACACAGCATCAGTACACAGCATACAGTACGCACAGCATCAGTACACAACATATAGTACATACACACAGCGTACAGTACCCAGTGTACACTACACACAGCATCAGTACACACTCAGCGTACACTACACACAGCATCAGTACACAGCATACAGTACGCACAGCATCAGTACACAGCATATAGTACATACACACAGCGTACAGTACCCAGTGTACACTACACACAGCATCAGTACACACAGCGTACAGTACCCAGTGTACACTACACACAGCATCAGTACACAGCGTACACTACACACAGCATCAGTACACAGTCAGCATACACTACACACAGCATCAGTACACAGTCAGCATACACTACACACAGCATCAGTACACAGTCAGCATACACTACACACAGCATCAGTACACAGCATACAGTACACACAGCATCAGTACACAACATATAGTACATACACACAGCATACAGTACACAGCATATAGTACATACACACAGCATACAGTACCCAGTGTACACTACACACAGCGTCAGTACACACTCAGCGTACACTACACACAGCGTCAGTACACAGCATACAATACACATGCACAGCATCAGTACACAGCATATAGTACATACACACAGCGTACAGTACCCAGTGTACACTACACACAGCGTCAGTACACACTCAGCGTACACTACACACAGCATCAGTACACAGCATACAGTACGCACAGCATCAGTACACAGCATATAGTACATACACACAGCGTACAGTACCCAGTGTACACTACACACAGCGTCAGTACACACTCAGCGTACACTACACACAGCATCAGTACACAGCATACAGTACGCACAGCATCAGTACACAGCATATAGTACATACACACAGCGTACAGTACCCAGTGTACACTACACACAGCGTCAGTACACACTCAGCGTACACTACACACAGCATCAGTACACACTCAGCGTACACTACACACAGCGTCAGTACACACTCAGCGTACACTACACACAGCGTCAGTACACACTCAGCGTACACTACACACAGCATCAGTACACAGCATATAGTACATACACACAGCGTACAGTATCCAGTGTACACTACACACAGCGTCAGTACACACTCAGCGTACACTACACACAGCATCAGTACACACTCAGCGTACACTACACACAGCGTCAGTACACAGCATATAGTACATACACACAGCGTCAGTACACACTCAGCGTACACTACACACAGCATCAGTACACACTCAGCGTACACTACACACAGCGTCAGTACACAGCATATAGTACATACACACAGCGTACAGTACCCAGTGTACACTACACACAGCATCAGTACACACTCAGTGTACACTACACACAGCGTCAGTACACAGCATACAATACACATGCACAGCATCAGTACACAGCATATAGTACATACACACAGCGTACAGTACCCAGTGTACACTACACACAGCGTCAGTACACACTCAGCATACACTACACACAGCGTCAGTACACAGCATACAATACACATGCACAGCATCAGTACACAGCATATAGTACATACACACAGCGTACAGTACCCAGTGTACACTACACACAGCGTCAGTACACACTCAGCGTACACTACACACAGCGTCAGTACACAGCATACAGTACGCACAGCATCAGTACACAGCATATAGTACATACACACAGCGTACAGTACCCAGTGTACACTACACACAGCGTCAGTACACACTCAGTGTACACTACACACAGCATCAGTACACACTCAGCGTACACTACACACAGCGTCAGTACACACTCAGCGTACACTACACACAGCGTCAGTACACAGCATACAATACACATGCACAGCATCAGTACACAGCATATAGTACATACACACAGCGTACAGTACCCAGTGTACACTACACACAGCGTCAGTACACACCCAGCGTACACTACACACAGCATCAGTACACAGCATACAGTACGCACAGCATCAGTACACAGCATATAGTACATACACACAGCGTACAGTACCCAGTGTACACTACACACAGCGTCAGTACACACTCAGCGTACACTACACACAGCATCAGTACATAGCATACAGTACGCACAGCGTCAGTACACAGCATATAGTACATACACACAGCGTACAGTACCCAGTGTACACTACACACAGCGTCAGTACACACTCAGCGTACACTACACACAGCATCAGTACACAGCATATAGTACATACACACAGCGTACAGTAACCAGTGTACACTACACACAGCATCAGTACACACTCAGCGTACACTACACACAGCGTCAGTACACAGCATACAGTACGCACAGCATCAGTACACAACATATAGTACATACACACAGCGTACAGTAACCAGTGTACACTACACACAGCGTCAGTACACACTCAGCGTACACTACACACAGCATCAGTACACAGCATATAGTACATACACACAGCGTACAGTAACCAGTGTACACTACACACAGCATCAGTACACACTCAGCGTACACTACACACAGCGTCAGTACACACTGAGTGTACACTACACACAGCATCAGTACACACTCAGCGTACACTACACACAGCGTCAGTACACAGCATACAGTACGCACAGCATCAGTACACAACATATAGTACATACACACAGCGTACAGTAACCAGTGTACACTACACACAGCATCAGTACACACTCAGCGTACACTACACACAGCATCAGTACACACTCAGCGTACACTACACACAGCGTCAGTACACAGCATATAGTACATACACACAGCGTACAGTACCCAGTGTACACTACACACAGCATCAGTACACACTCAGCGTACACTACACACAGCGTCAGTACACACTCAGCGTACACTACACACAGCATCAGTACACACTCAGCGTACACTACACACAGCGTCAGTACACAGCATACAGTACGCACAGCATCAGTACACAACATATAGTACATACACACAGCGTACAGTAACCAGTGTACACTACACACAGCGTCAGTACACACTCAGCGTACACTACACACAGCATCAGTACACAGCATATAGTACATACACACAGCGTACAGTAACCAGTGTACACTACACACAGCATCAGTACACACTCAGCGTACACTACACACAGCGTCAGTACACACTGAGTGTACACTACACACAGCATCAGTACACACTCAGCGTACACTACACACAGCGTCAGTACACAGCATACAGTACGCACAGCATCAGTACACAACATATAGTACATACACACAGCGTACAGTACACAGCATATAGTACATACACACAGCGTACAGTAACCAGTGTACACTACACACAGCATCAGTACACACTCAGCGTACACTACACACAGCATCAGTACACACTCAGCGTACACTACACACAGCGTCAGTACAGAGCATATAGTACATACACACAGCGTACAGTACCCAGTGTACACTACACACAGCATCAGTACACACTCAGCGTACACTACACACAGCGTCAGTACACACTCAGCGTACACTACACACAGCATCAGTACACACTCAGCGTACACTACACACAGCGTCAGTACACAGCATATAGTACATACACACAGCGTACAGTAACCAGTGTACACTACACACAGCATCAGTACACACTCAGCGTACACTACACACAGCATCAGTACACACTCAGCGTACACTACACACAGCGTCAGTACACAGCATATAGTACATACACACAGTGTACAGTACCCAGTGTACACTACACACAGCATCAGTACACACTCAGCGTACACTACACACAGCGTCAGTACACACTCAGCGTACACTACACACAGCATCAGTACACACTCAGCGTACACTACACACAGCGTCAGTACACAGCATATAGTACATACACACAGCGTACAGTACCCAGTGTACACTACACACAGCATCAGTACACACTCAGCGTACACTACACACAGCGTCAGTACACACTCAGCGTACACTACACACAGCATCAGTACAGTCAGTGTACACTACACACAGCGTCAGTACACAGCATATAGTACATACACACAGTGTACAGTACCCAGTGTACACTACACACAGCATCAGTACACACTCAGCGTACACTACACACAGCGTCAGTACACACTCAGCGTACACTACACAAAGCATCAGTACACACTCAGCGTACACTACACACAGCATCAGTACACACTCAGCGTACACTACACACAGCGTCAGTACACACTCAGCGTACACTACACACAGCATCAGTACACAGTCAGTGTACACTACACACAGCGTCAGTACACAGCATATAGTACATACACACAGTGTACAGTACCCAGTGTACACTACACACAGCGTCAGTACACACTCAGCGTACACTACACACAGCGTCAGTACACAGCATACAATACACATGCACAGCATCAGTACATATGGGGAACGCCAGCGACTCAGTGCCCAGGTCAGCAGAGAAGGACGGGGAAAAGGGTGAAAGAAACTTGGACAAGAGGTTCTGGTGTCACCTCCCAGAACGGGGCTGGGTCTGGCACATTCTCCCCAGGGCGGGGCCAGGTCCCAGGTGGAACTTGTTTCCCTGGGCAGTGGGTCACCCACCTCCCGTGTCTCCCCACAGTCGCAGCTGTCTATGACGTAACCCTGAACTTCAGAGGGAGGAAGAACCCGTCCCTGCTGGGCATCCTCTACGGGAAGAAGTACGAGGCGGACATGTGTGTGAGGTGAGGCCAGAGCCTGCGCTCTCAGACCTTCCTGAGCTGGTGCTGGGCAGAGGCCGGGGGGGGCGGCTGGGTCCAGGCTCCATGTCCCGTGGCCCCGTGGGATGGAACTCACATGCAGGGCCCATCTGGAGTCCTGCCCCAGTGAACAGCACACAGGAAAGGCCCCGTGGGACTTGTTCAGGCCTCAGGCAGGCAGGCCACAGTAGAGGACATGGAGAGGACACGGAGACATGGGGGCTGCATGGGAGACTCACCGTGGCCCACGGTGTGTTTCCTTCCTTTGGGGAAATTGTTGAGCTGCCACTGGGGCCACCTGCGTCTCTTCTGCCTCCTCAGGAAGCCCCTGCAGGTCCCTCTGTAAGACGGACTGGACTTCCCTGGCCTGGACTCAAACCCCACCAGGCTCCCTAAGTCTCCTGGGGCCCACAGTCACACGACCTGGGGGATACAGTGTTGATTTCTCCCGAAGGGTGAAACCCAGGCAGGTCTCTTGGTGGGCAGGACGGGGCCCCTGCGGAGCCTCTGGCCTGAAGCGGTGCTGGGAGTGGCTTTCTGCTGGCCCTGGCGATGGCAGCCCTGGCATGCAGGGGACCGCAGTGTCTGACGGGGACAGTGGTTTGTTTGTTGTTTTGGAGACAGATCTTGCTCTGTCACCCAGGCTGGAGTGCAATGGCTCAATCTTGGCTTACTGCAACCTCCACTCCTGTGTTCAGGTGATTCTCCTGCCTCAGGCCCCTGAGTAGCTGGGATTACAGGCACCTGCCACCATGCCTGGCTAATGTGGTGTTTTTTTAGTAGACACAGGGTTTCTCCATGTTGGCCAGGCTGGATTTGTAGTCTTGATCTCAAGTGATCCACCCTCCTCAGCCTACCAACGTGCTGGGATTATAGGCGTGAGCCACCACGTTGGGCTGAAGAGCGTTTTAAACCCCGTCTTGAGAGTTGAGGCTTCAGTGCTCCGGGGCCCCGGTCACTGTCCCAGTGAAATAGAAAGGGAGTGGCTTGTCCAGCTGCTGGGAGGACCCCGGTCTTGCTCTGCAGGGCGCCGCCAGCTTTCTTGGGGGCAGCCTGTCTCCGCAGAGGGTCAGGGGTGTGGGTGCCACCAACGAGCCATGGCTGCCCTTGGACTCTCCAGGCTTCTCTCACTCACGTAGAGGGGAAAACGCACCCAGAAGTCCTGTTGACTTAACAGGCTGCGGTCGTGACCCCGATCCCAGCGCAAGGCGGCATCTCAGGCAGGCTGTTGAGGTTGGGCTCTGAGGGCCTGAAGCCCCCGTGCGCCCTTGGGCGGCCCCCGTGGAGCTCGTCAGTCTCCGGTTTCATTCCGCGTGTGCAGAAGGGCAGGGTCCTCCGTGGCGTGTGTGAGGTCTCACAGAGCTGTCACCGCATGGGTTGCCATACTTGCAATCCGACCACCACCGTCTGTGTGTGTCCTGGTCAGCGCAGCCGCCTGCCATGGCCACAGGCCCTCCACACTCATGCCCAAGTTAAACAGAGCAAAACACAACAGCACCCAGTTCTTCGGGCCACACTAGGTAGGAGGTTTCCAGGAATCGTCTGTGAACATAAACATGAGCTAGGTCACATTCCCTTCCGGTTCAAGGACTGGCCGATGAGAGCTGGGCCCCCTCTTCTCCTGAGCCGGGGTGAGTGGGGCCACGAGCCGACAGTCCTCTCCCCTGTGTCTAAAGCCCTGGGAGGGAGCTCTGAGCCACTGTGGGCCGTGGAGGCTGCGGTGACTGACCGGGGCCCAGGACGGTCGCATGGCAGGCTGGGGCAGGACATGAGGTGGGCTGATAGCAGCCGGTGGCCCTGGGCCGGATCCTGGCCACAGCTGGCCTCAGTCACCCTCATGAGAGGAGCCCGGGAGGCTCGTCTTGCTCTTGTTCTTTGGTGCTTAGTGGTGGGCCGAGGCTGGATGGTTGGAGAAGCTGTCCAAGGTCTGTGCTGGCCGTGGCGGAGCCGGGACGCCCATCAAGCTGCACGGCACCTCCACCTCGGGTGCCACACAGCTCCCGCAGAGAGCAGCCTCCCCCGCCCCCATCTGTTGTCCTTCCTGCCGCTGCCTTTATTCTGCCCAATCATCTTTTAATAAACACTTGCTCTGAACTTCTAAGGCTCCGGCTGGTGCAGCCCTCGCTGCCTGGCTGTCTGGGGAACAGCACTGTCTCCGCAGCAATGCCATTATAGCACCAGGCTCGGCTGGGCATGGGGCTGGCCCTCCTCCAACGCCCGGGGCCCGTGGGTGCGGGACGGCTGCAGGCTCTCCTGGCCCCAGCGCTGACCCCTGGCCAAGGGCCTTCAAGGGGCTTGAGTCAACTCCAGGAGGCACATGCTCAGGATGACACCCTGGAGTGCAGAAAAGATAGAATTTTTATTTATACTTTTTTGTATCTTGTCCTTTTAAATTCTTATCTTTATATATTTCATAATGTATGTAACAGACGTACAGTAAAACATGTATGTGGGGCATGTGTGAGAGTGTGTGTGTGTTCACGTGGGGTGTGTTTGGTGTGTATTATGTATGTGGTATATGATGTATGTATGGTGTGTTATGTGTGAGAGTATGTGTGTGTTCACGTGGGGTGTGCTTGGTGTGTATTATGTATGTGGTATATGATGTATGTATGGTGTGTTATGTGTGAGAGTATGTGTGTGTTCACGTGGGGTGTGCTTGGCGTGTATTATGTATGTGGTATATGATGTATGTATGGTGTGTTATGTGTGAGAGTATGTGTGTGTTCACGTGGGGTGTGCTTGGCGTGTATTATGTATGTGGTATATGATGTATGTATGGTGTGTTATGTGTGAGAGTATGTGTGTGTTCACGTGGGGTGTGCTTGGTGTGTATTATGTATGTGGTATATGATGTATGTATGGTGTGTTATGTGTGCATGTGTGTATATGTGGGGCGTGTGTGAGCGTGTGTGTGTTCACGTGGGGTGTGTTTGGCGTGTATTATGTATGTGGTATATGATGTATGTATGGTGTGTTTGTGTGTTCACGTGGGGTGTGCTTGGCGTGTATTATGATGTATGTGGTATATGATGTATGTATGGTGTGTTATGTGTGCATGTGTATATATGTGGGGCGTGTGTGAGCATGTATGTGTTCACGTGGTGTGTGCTTGGCGTGTATTATGATGTATGTGGTATATGATGTATGTATGGTGTGTTATGTGTGCATGTGTGTATATGTGGGGCGTGTGTGAGCGTGTGTGTTCACGTGGGGTGTGCTTGGCGTGTATTATGATGTATGTGGTATATGATGTATGTATGGTGTGTTATGTGTGCATGTGTATATATGTGGGGCGTGTGTGAGCGTGTGTGTGTTCACGTGGGGTGTGCTTGGCGTGTATTATGATGTATGTGGTATATGATGTATGTATGGTGTGTTATGTGTGCATGTGTGTATATGTGGGGCGTGTGTGAGCGTGTGTGTTCACGTGGGGTGTGCTTGGCGTGTATTATGATGTATGTGGTATATGATGTATGTATGGTGTGTTATGTGTGAGAGCGTGTGTGTGTTCACGTGGGGTGTGCTTGGCGTGTATTATGATGTATGTGGTATATGATGTATGTATGGTGTGTTATGTGTGTATGTGTATATATGTGGGGCGTGTGTGAGCGTGTGTGTGTTCACGTGGGGTGTGCTTGGCGTGTATTATGTATGTGGTATATGATGTATATATGGTGTGTTATGTGTGCATGTGTATATATGTGGGGCGTGTGTGAGCGTGTGTGTGTTCACGTGGGGTGTGCTTGGCGTGTATTATGATGTATGTGGTATATGATGTATGTATGGTGTGTTATGTGTGCATGTGTGTATATGTGGGGCGTGTGTGAGCGTGTGTGTGTTCACGTGGGGTGTGCTTGGCGTGTATTATGATGTATGTATGTGGTATATGATGTATGTATGGTGTGTTATGTGTGCATGTGTGTATATGTGGGGTATGTGTGAGAGTGTGTGTGTGTTCACGTGGGATGTGCTTGGCGTGTATTATGATGTATGTGGTATATGATGTATGTATGGTGTGTTATGTGCATGTGTGTATATATGTGGGGCGTGTGTGAGCGTGTGTGTGTTCACGTGGGGTGTGCTTGGCGTGTATTATGTATGTGGTATATGATGTATATATGGTGTGTTATGTGTGCATGTGTATATATGTGGGGCGTGTGTGAGCGTGTGTGTGTTCACGTGGGGTGTGCTTGGCGTGTATTATGATGTATGTGGTATATGATGTATGTATGGTGTGTTATGTGTGCATGTGTGTATATGTGGGGCGTGTGTGAGCGTGTGTGTGTTCACGTGGGGTGTGCTTGGCGTGTATTATGATGTATGTATGTGGTATATGATGTATGTATGGTGTGTTATGTGTGCATGTGTGTATATGTGGGGTATGTGTGAGAGTGTGTGTGTGTTCACGTGGGATGTGCTTGGCGTGTATTATGATGTATGTGGTATATGATGTATGTATGGTGTGTTATGTGCATGTGTGTATATGTGGGGTATGTGTGAGAGCGTGTGTGTGTTCAAAATTTCTATAAAATTTTACAGAAAATTGATTTAATTTTAATCGGGTTGGCTGTAAGGCAAGATTTTCTGAATTTTGTGTAATTTTCTGAATTTTGTGTAAGTTTCTTATTTTTTTGAAAGAAAGAGTTTATGTTCTAAGAAAACTCCTCTATTCAGACACACGAGCCAAATTTTACAGTAGCCTTTTTTTTTTTTTTTTTTTTTTTAAGAAGCAGGTTCGCACTATGTTGCCCAGGCTGGGGTGCAGTGGCTATTCACAGGCGCGATCCCACTACTGATCAGCACGGCAGTTTTGACCTGCTCCGTTTCCGACCTGGGCTGGTTCACCCCTCCCTAGGTAACCTGGTGGTCCCCCACTCCTGGGAGGTCGCCATATTGATGCCGAACTTAGTGCGGACACCCGATCGGCATAGTGCACTACGGCCCAGAACTCCTGGGCTCAAGCGACCCTCCAGCCTCAGCCTCCCGAGTAGCCGGGACTACAGGCACACGCCACCGCACCCGGCTACATCAGCATTTTTAAATTGTATTGCTTAGTTTATATAAACACGAAAGAGCCTGTTTCGAATCATAGTCAACTTTTTCGGATGTGTGTTTTTCTTAACTGCCCAGAAGGAAGGGAGAACCAGGAGAACCGGGCACTGGTGAAAACAGGTCAGGCCTACCTGACATCTCAACGCGTGGCTCAGTGACAGGCGCCCCTGAGCCCCAGCCCGTCCACACAGTATTGCTGCTTCCTTAGAATCACCACTGTCATCCTTGCTGGCAGCCTTGGTATTTTCACTCAGTTTTAAAAGACTTTAATATATCGTATGTGAGGGGCTTACACCATGTACTTACTCAAATTACCACTGACTGTCAGAATAAGAGCTGTAACATGTTACTTATTTAAATTTTTCCAATTAGATTTGTCAGGTAATTACCCTGCTTACCTTACCAAGTAGATGTGCCAACTTGTGGGCCGCTAACCCACTTGGTAGATGAGTGTCCAAACTGAAATCAGCTCTTTCTTGAGATGAAAATGTCTATATATTTAATACTTTTCATATTTGAAGCAAGTGGATTTCATTTGTGAAATAATCTTCTTTGCCTAATGAAAGACACCCTCAGTCATGGCTGTCTCCAAAGAATGAACATGTTAGGCTGGGCGCGGTGGCTCATGCCTGTAATCCCAGGACTTTGGGAGGCCGAGGTGGGTGGATCACGAGGTCAAGAGATCGAGACCATCCTGGCCAACATGGTGAAACCCTGTCTCTACTAAAAATACAAAAATTAGCTGGGTGTGGTGGCGCGTGCCTGTAGTCTCAGCTACTGTGGAGGCTGAGGCAGGAGAATTGTTTGAACCCGGGAGGCGGAGGTTGCGGTGAGCTGAGATTGCGCCATTGCACTCCAGCCTAGAGACCAAAAAAAAAAAAAAGTACGTGTTAAAGAAAGATCAGAACTCTCAGCAGCTCACTAATGACCGCCCTTCTCATGGGGCCGGAGGCGTGGCCTGCCCACTTAGCTCACTTGTGGGCATGCTGGGTTCATGCCACCCCTGCACTGAAGGGCACCTCGTGGACCTCGCCGCCACGCCAGGCTGACTGTGTTCTCGGTTGAATGCGATAGCAGAAGTTCATTTTCTGTTTGTGCTTAGGAACTGAGAGTGAGGCATCATAGAAAGGGCGGGCCCGCGGGTCGTCTGAGCGCACTGTTTCCTTTCGCCCTTCTGAGTGTGAGGTCATGTGATGATTCACCCACCTTGACTCCTCTTCATAACACAGGAGATTTCCTCTGGAAGAGATCCCGCTGGACGAAAAGGAGGCGGCTCAGTGGCTTCATAAACTGTACCAGGAGAAGGTAATCAGGCCCTGCTCCCCCTCGGGGTCCTGGTCTCCCGCAGAGACTGTGGAAGGGGCGCTGGCAAGCAGGCAGGTACACGTGGGTCCTCCGTGGGACAGGAGTGTCACGCGGGTCCCAAATGCTCCTGATCCTTTTGTCGCTTCTTCTTCTTTCTGTTTTTGTTTGTTTGTTTTTTCTGAGACAGGGTCTTGTTTTGTCGCCCAGGCTGGAGTGCAGTGGTGCAGTCCTGGCTCACTGCTGCCTCGACCTCCTGGGCTCAAGAGATCCTCCTGCCTCAGCCTCCTAGGTAGCTGGGACTGCAGGCGTGAGCCACCCTGTTCAGCTAAAGATTCGAAACAAAAATGTTTATTTTTGTAGAAATGGGGTTGCCAGGCTGGCATTGAACTCCTAGGCTCAAGCAATCTTCCCACCTTGGCCTCCCAAAGTGCTGGGATGACAGGCGTGAGCCACTATACCCAGGCCATTTTTTGTTTTGTTTTGTTTTTCTGGAGATGGAGTCTCACTCTGTCACCCAGGCTGAGGGCAGTGGTGCGACCTCCACTTACTACAACCTCTGCCTCCCAGGTTCAAGAGAGTCTCCTGCCTCAGCCTCCACAGTAGCTGGGATTACAGGCACGCGCCACCACACCCGGCTAATTTTTGTATTTTTAGTAGAGACGGGGTTTCACCATGTTGGCCAGGATGGTCTCCATCTCTTGACCTCATGATCCGCCCACCTCAGCCTCCCAAAGTGCTGGGATTACAGGCGCGAGCCACCGCGCCCGGCCCTTTTCCTTAGTGTTTGAGAAATTGACAAGCTGCAGACAAGTATGAAGGGTAAGTGATGCCCATGTAACTATGGCTGGTAACATTTGGTCACATATGTTTCATTTTCTTATGTAAAAGAAATGATGTGTATGTAACAGACATAAGACTGAGGTAATGGAAACAAAGTAGGTGAGTTCAGGAGATTAAGTTGAAACCACACTCAGTCCTTCCTGCTCCATTCCCCGTGGCTTGCTCCTGCCCACACCTACTTTCCCTTTATTTTGTGCGCACAAATGCATGGGGCATTCGATTTCTACTGTCAGCACTGCGGGAGCGTAGATAACCAGGAAGTCCTCCCAGGATGTAAAAAATCCCACTGTAAAGGCATTGATGCGCTCTCAAGAAAATCAGGGAAATCTGGGACGAAAAAGGGAGGTGGGGCCGGAACCAAGGCGGTGGGCCTGGGAGCCGGCACGGCCATGCTCGGCGGCTGGCATCTGCCTGCCCCCTCCCCTGAAGTCTTGAGCTTTCATGCCTATGTGGAAACAGAAGATAAGGGTTTCCCCTCATTCAAGGCAGCAAGTTAGAACCGAAAACCCCACGTGATGCTGGGACCCTCTAAGAATCTGACCCTCAGAATGGTTAAACTGGAAAATAAAACTACCTCCCAGCATGGAGAAATGACCTTGGGACTTGCCTTTTTCCTCTTGGGCTCAAAAAAGTCTGCCCCGGTAACTCATAATGACAGGCCTGCCCTGCCACAGGCTCGAGGTTTGAATCTGTGTCATACAAACAACATAGTTCCAGAAGCACGCAGCCAAGATGTGTGTGCCTGGAGGCGTTCCAGGGGCGGGGAGCTGGGTGCCCAGGGGTGGCCGGGCCACGATGACACCGGCCTCCACAAGGACACGGTGCGTGGCTGGCGGGCAGCACCCCAACTCCGGTTTCCAGCAGGAAGCTGAGAACCATGAAGAGATCAACTGGTAAAAATGAAATCTCTAGCAGCCAGTGAGCTCACGGTTGACAATCTGCAACCAGCTTTCCAAGAGAGGGTCGACGGTGCCCTCACTACCTCCCAAGCATCCTAGAGTCCCACGGGCTGCCCACCCAGGGATGCTGGCTGCAGAGCATTCCGCTCTATCAGGCGCGGTAATTTCCTGCCAGCCCGTGCCCCTGATCTTCCCACCAGGGCAGAACCTTCTGCAGGTGGCCCTAGCCAGGCTCCTCCTCCAAGCTCCTCATTAGCCTCCTTCACCGGGCCAGGAATCCCAGGTGTGCCAGGTTAAGGACGTTTCCATGGCCGTGCAGCTGAGAGCGCACGATGCAGGGATTTGCATCCAGGCCTCGGGACTCACACAGGCCACGCCTGCCACCCCAGCCGCCTCTGGCTCGTGGGAGGCGTGGGATGTGGCAGCAGCCTGGGCTGTGCTGGGCGGGCAGATACCGGAATTCATGAAGTTCCTTTCTCGACCGATTATTTTCCTGGGAGACGTCCTCAGTCAAAGGGTCGCCATGCCTGTGAGCTGCTGATGCATGCCACCAAACATTCTCCAGAAAGGTAAAGCCGGCTTCGCCTCCCACCTGCAGCTTCCGTGATTTGTTCTCGTGTTTGATGTTGCACCTTCTTTAAGTTGAGTCGTTTCTCATTGCCAGCAGTTTTCTCCTGCACTGAAATAACAGCTTGTAAAGAAGGCTCGCACTTCCTTTTCGTCTTTGCCTCTTCCAGGACGCACTCCAGGAGATGTATAATCAGAAGGGCGTGTTTCCAGGGGAGCAGTTTAAGCCTGCCCGGAGGCCCTGGACCCTCCTCAACTTCCTCTCCTGGGCCACCATTCTCCTGTCCCCCCTCTTCAGTTTTGTCTTGGGTGTCTTTGCCAGCGGATCACCCCTCCTGATCCTGACATTCTTGGGGTTTGTGGGAGCAGGTAATGGACACGGTCGCTAATGCCTCACACTCTGAGGGGCCTCCGGTGCTGGCCACAGGGCCTGGGACCCGGCGGCTCTTCACAGTGGCCCTGGGAGGCAGGGGAGCCAGGATCCCCCCACAGCCTGTGGGCCTCAGAGCCTGGACTCTTGCGCTGAGCTGAGGTTCATCTCCTCTGAGAGCCGAATGGCCACCACCCTCATGCCATCCCCGCTGCAACCCCCTGGCTGGCGCCTGGGAGGATGCCGATGAGAGGGAACCCAGTTCCCCTGTCTGCTTTTGGGCGCTTAGGGGGTCAGGCTGGGATGGCCATTTGGGAGGTTTAATCAGAACACCAACATTCTGCTCCCCCCATTGACCCCATTGGCTTCCCCACTGTGTGCCCACCCCAAGCACAATGCAGGCTCCACCGCCACTCCTCAGTTAGCCTGTGGCTGAGCAAACACTGGCCTGTCCTTATGGTGAACTCAGGCGCCCACCCACTTTCCGTAATCAAGGGGTACATGGAGACACAGTCCGTGCATCGCCCCGTAAGCCCCTCCCCAGGCTCAGCAGTCAGGTCAGCTCTTCCCTTGCTCCTGCGGCCCCTGCCAGAGGCCTTGGGGGGAGGGGCCTGAGAGGCAGTGACTGCCACCAGCCTCTTGTGTTGGACCACACGGTGACCTGAGGCTACCCATGGAGGACAGGATGTGACCTGGTTACATCTGAGTGTCCTGCTCATCCACCTTGGTCATCTGTTAGGTTGGCGAGGCCTAGCTGTTAGAACGCCCTGAAGCCTTTCTGCTCCCATCAGCCAAAGACTCAGAAGGGCAGGCAGGGTGAGGTCCACATGTCCACCTGCCTCTGACCCATCAGAAGATGTGGCCCGTGCCCCTGCCTGAGGAGTCCGTGGCCTATAGGGCTGTCTCCCCGCAGACCACACCTACTCACTGTGAACAGAGGTTCCTGGGTGTGAGGCAGAGGGAGAGGGTCTGGGGCAGAGGAAGGAAGCCCCATAACACGTTTTACAGCAAAAAGGCAAAGTCAGCCGTCTCACCTCTTCTCTCTCTCTCCTGTCTTGAAAGCTTCCTTTGGAGTTCGCAGACTCATAGGAGTGACTGAGATAGAGAAAGGCTCCAGCTACGGAAACCAGGAGTTTAAGAAAAAGGAATAATTAATGGCTGTGATTGAACACACGGGACCTGATGGTGGTATCCGGTTAACTCAAAAACAGCAGCACGCAGAGTGGCGGGAAAAGACAATTAGAAACTATTTTTCTTATTAACTGGTGACTAATATTAACAAAACTTGAGCCAATAGTGAAGAATCCAGAAGGCCTGCCAGAGGAAGAGTTCAGCCTCCCGCAGCTCGGGGTCCCAGCTTCTCCGAGCGTGCCGTGGGACGTGGGTCCCGGGCGGAGGGGCCTTCCGCGGACGCCGTCTCTCCAGAACTCCGCTTCCAAGAGGGAGCCTTCGGCTGCTTTCTCTCCTTAAACTTAGATCAAATTTTCTGTTTTGTAATCAGTTATTTTGGGAACTTAATCTGGCCCTTCACCTCTTCTGCACCGCCCCAGACGCTGTCTCATGATGAATTTCTGCTGTCCTTTTTGGAGTGGGTGGCCGGGTCCCATCCCCGGGGGGCTCATGTGGCTGCCCCGCTTGGCTCAGAACCTTGGCTCCCAGTGGGGACCCCGTGGGAGAGCGCCCGTAGTGATAAGCACATCGGCAGGTATATCAGGTGGATTCCTCGAAGCCGGAGCCCTCACCGTGCCCTGTTGGGGGCTGGCTGAGGCGAATGCCCCCCTTTCCTTTCTAGAGTGCTGTCTGCCCTCGCTCCTGTTTGAGCCTGTGTGTAAATACCTACATCTGTTTTTAAAGTGGATGGACCCCTGAGAACTCAGTGAAATGCAGAGTTCTCCCGAACCAGAAGCTCCTCCATCCCTCTCATGGCTGTCAAACCCTGGTCCCTCCACACTGGGTGCTGGGGAGGGAGGACCCTCGGGGCTACCGTGCGGCCCCCACCCCACAGATCAGGAGCCAAGGAGGGAGGGCAGAGCAGTGTGTGGGACTCTGGATGCTTTGGAAGCAGAGAGGGCACCGTCAGCCTCTGTGTTTTAAAGGTGGTTGGAGACTGTTAACACTGAGCTCATTTGCTTCTAGAGATTCTGTTTTTACTGGTTCATCTCTTGGTGGTTTTCAGCTTCCTGCTGGAAACTAGAGGTGGGGCATCCCCCATCCCCAGCCTCGCACCGTGTCCTTGGGAAGGGCCTGCCCCCACCCAGGCAGGTGTCACTGGCCCGGCCACCCTTGAGCACCCAGCTCCTGGCCTCCGGGGTATCTCTGAGCATCCAGGCAGAGCAGAGGGCAGCGCTCAGCCGGTCATGCTGGCTCCCTCCGCCTCTCAGAAGCCCCTGGCCCACGCCAAGTGAGGGATGCTTCTCCCTCCAGGGTATCCAGTGCCCGGTGTGGCTGGGCGGGGCAGTGCGGTGGGAGGAAAGCTCACCTCCATTGTGGAGCCATCAGCCCACCTGCATTTGTCTTTCAGCTTGCTTGGTCTGTCGAACTCCCCTTACCTTTTTAGCAAGGGAAAAAAACAAACACGGGTGTTATCACTGATACGTTGTAACCAGCTTCTGAATAGAGGTAGGTTGAGTTTTCTAGGGGAAAAAAGGAGAAAAGAGGCATGAAGAAAAGTAAACCAAGAGCATAATTGGGCATCAGCCCAAAGTGTCCTGGGGAGACTCGAGGTGATGGCAGCGTTCTGTGAGACAGAGGCACTGCCGGCCCCGGGTCTCTCGGGCCACGTTCTCAGGGCGTGTGCACAGAACACCTCCTGTGCACACCTGCTCAGAGCACAGCTCCTCACGGGGGTGAAGGGGCAGACAGGGAAACTAGACAAGACGCCGTCGCTTCAGAAATGGGCTTCCCTCCCTCTGAAATCTCATCCCTCCCGTCCTCCCGCTCGGGCAGCCGTGCCATGAGTGGGACGTGCACGCCCCGGGTGAGCCCCCCAGAGACCCCGGCACCTTCCTCACCGCACGCTGCCCACCCGTCTCCGTGTGTGTCTAGGCCCACGTCACTCACTGACTCACTCACACCTATGAAATCTGAAAGGAAAAAAGCTGAAGGGTCCGACTGTGCACAGGCGTGACCTGGAAAATGCAAATGTAGATCTTTTATGATTTAATTCATAGTTATTTCCCATAGGCGTTCCCTCCCTTTGAAATTAATATATAATGTACAAATTCTGCACTGAGTCATGACAGAGCTGAAGCTCCTGGCTTAGAGTGGAGATGGAGGCCCGGGCGCAGGGTTCAAACCTCACCTGATTTCCTTCCGATCTCCCGGCTTAGCTTGTGCTTCTCAACGCCAAGCCTTTAAGAGCAATAAAACTACACCATGAATGTTTGGGTTTTTTTTTTTCCTTTCTTTTTTTTTTTTTTTTTTGGGAGGAGGGTGGATTTTGCTTTTCATCCATTTCAGAAGGAAAAGGGGAGGAGAGCTCCTTTATCTTTTTAAATTAAATTCATAAATCCCAGAATAGTCTTTTTTTCTCTTTCCTTTATACCCTCCTCCTGGGCTTCATTCATCGTGGCCGTTATGTCCACATTCAGGCTGAGCGCTCAGGCTGAAGCAGTTCTGTAACCACAGTCCCTGCTGGCCGTGTTCGGATGCTGGGGGTGGCGCACGTTCTGGGCCTGGCATCGCTGATGCCCTCCACCCCAGGTCCTGGAGCCACACAGAGGACAGGAAGGGTGTTGCTGGCCTGTAGTTCCTATTGCCCACCCAGAGCCAGGCACCCCACCAGAAGCCCCCAGCCAAGAGGGTCCAGGCCCGCCCCCTTGGCGTCTGGCAGGCCAAGCTCCCAGCCTGGGCCATGGTCTCCTGGGGACGCCGCTGGCCTCACTCAGCTCAGGCCCGGGTGCCCGGTGTCACGGGGTCTCCTGCCCATCTTCCTGAGGGCACCATCGCTGTTGCCATCCTTTCCCCCGTGCGAGACTGCTTGTCCAGTACTCGGTGACAGTGTGCCAGGTGCACACCCTATTCGAGGTGCTTTCAGGCTCCCCTCCTCAGGAAGCGCAGAGTCTGATGAAAAGATGAGTGCTGAGCAAATAAATCACTAACAACACAGCAGTGGAAGCAGCACCTGCTTGTTTTAAAAAAGAAACAGGTCCTATCAAAGATGAATTTTGAGTCTCTGCCTCGTCCATCCCCCGACATCCATTCTGCGCACCGTGGCATGAGAATCTGTCCTCACAGTGTTCACCGAGGTATGGCTGAGCATTGACGTTGACGTGAAGGAGAAGCGGGGGTCGGACCCAGCTTTCTGTTTCGCTCACTTGCAATTCAGTAGCTGTCCAGGCCACCCACACCTGTTGTGGCTGCCAGTTGGGGTCAGATTTGGGGTGAAGAAAAAGTACCTTTCTGCATGCCTTGTCTCTTCCTGAGACACTTATGCAACAAGCCAAGTATAACCTCTCCAGCCCTGCAGATTTTCATCTGACTTGTTCAGCCCCTCGCGTCGGTTCCCACAGCAGGGCTCTGGCCCACGGCTCACTGCATGCAGCCCCTGGCGTGCCACACTAATGCCCCAAGGCACGATGTGCTTCTAATCCTTCTGCACTGCACCAGGCTCAGGGTTCCAATGGCCAGCCTGAAACGCCTGCCTGCCTTCTTTCTGGAAACAGCACGTCCCCAGCCGTGTGCCTGCTCCTTCCTCTACCGGGCTAGTCCCCAAACCAAAGGCAAGCCCCCTTGGCCCCTGGTGATGGGGCTGATGGGCCGGCCACACCCCTGACCCCGCCCAGGCTCTGCCACCTACGCCCTGCCGTGGGGCTGACCTGGGGTGTGCAGACCTCCGGCCCATGTTCCTGCATATCCGGGCCAGGACGCAAAAACAGCTTTTGGGTAAAAGATGTCACGCTGATCTGCTGAGTGGGGTGGACACATGAATTCAGTTTGTTCACGAACACTTGCTGCTTGTAGCATCCTTACAAACTGCTCGGGAAATAGAATGACAGAAACACTTAGGGAGCCCAGGAGGTCACCAGACACCTTGGCGTCAGGTGGCCCAGGCAAGAGCAGCGTCCGCTTTTCAAAGGTCATGGAGTTGTCTGAAGATAGCTTTGTAGTGACAGGTTCAGCTGGAGTTTCTTTTCCATTTCTTAACTTTTTGTTGCACAAGTATTTGGACAGAGGTCGAACTGTGAATGACATAATGAAATGCACTAAATTGTATTCAATTAAACTGGAGTTACTTGATACAATGAAGAAATGCTTCTGATCTACTTGTATTTATTGTCTCAGAATTGTACGTTGTGACAATCAAATGTTACTTGCCTAAATGCCAGGAAATTCGACTGGCTTCTTAATCACAAAGCTTGCCAGCAAGTACTGTAACTGTAAATGAAAATCTCTCTGGAAAACCCCCACACACCATTGACCTGACTGCACGTGGCAGCCATTGGGTTCTTTTTCTATGATTGAAAATCTGCCATAGCTGACTGTTGGCCCGTTTCAAAGGGACCCGTTGTATACAGGGTGCAAATGTATTATATGATGCTTCCTTCTGTACACTTCATTTCTACAAGTTTTGCTACTCACAAGCTTTATGTAGTGGAGGATGGAGGTATTTTTGGTCTTCAGAAGCTTGTCGGGGGTGAGGGCTGCTAACTTAGACTTGAAAGGCCTGTGTCCCGAAGGCCTGGCTGTGTCTGCCGTGCTATACGAGGACCTCTGTACACAAGCAGGCGCGCCTGTCCAAGCACGCGTAGCTCCTGCGTGGTGGTGTTTTCTACGTGACATGCTGCTGGCATCTGTTCATTAAACTGCTTCTGTGAAAGAGAGGGATAAAGTATCCACACAGCGACTCCGACTCCGAGCCTCCTTCTGTTTCTTTGTTTCCAGTCTGCGTAGATGTCTCCACGGGGAAGCCAGGGCCGCCAGCCACTCCTGTCCCATGGGGTTACCCACTGTGCAGCCCGCTCCCACAGGCCGTTTCCTCCGAGCCCTTCCTGCCACCCGACGGCACTTTTCAAGCCCCTCCGTTCCCTACGAGTTGCTTTCTGGAAGGGGAAATTGAAAGGGAGAGAGGTCATCTGGCAAAAACACAGGGGAAAAAATCAGCCAGTCCCTAAAAATGAGAAATGATCCCCTGAGGTCCAAAAACAAGGGTTTAAAAGCCATCAAGGATGAAAGGTTTCTACAGTGGGCATGTGTACACCCAAAACAGCTTAAAAACGCCATCTGTGGAGAACACTGAGAAACCCCTTTTTCTTCTTTATTAAAAACAAAACAAAAACTCTTGTTGGAATCAAGAGATTCCAGGTTCTCTCTCTCTCTCTCTTTTTTTTTTTTTTTTTGAGACAGAGTCTCACTATGTTGCCCAGGCTGGAGTGCAGTGGCTATTCACAGGCGCGATCCCACTACTGATCAGCACAGGAGTTTTGACCTGCTCCGTTTCCGACCTGGGCCGGTTCACCCCTCCTTAGGCAACCTGGTAGTCCCCCGCTCCCAGGAGGTCGCCATATTGATGCCAAACTTAGTGCGGACACCTGATTGGCACAGCGCACTACGGCCCAGAACTCCTGGGCTCAAGAAATCCTCCAGCCTCAGCCTCCCAAGTAGCCAGGACTACAGGCACGCACCACCATGCCCGGCGAGATTCCAGGTTCTTGTTTCGTGTCTTGTAAGAATGAGCTCAGCTGAAGAGTCTGGGTGCCCACATGCCCCTGGAACGGCCCTGGTGACCTCGGCGGCATGCTGTCCACTCCAGGGCTGCCTCCCTCCCTCCACGATGGCTTCAGTGAGGGTGACAGGTCCATGCTGGTGCTTAGCCCAGATCCCGAGAGTCTGGGAAGGCCTGGCTCAAAGTCCTGCATCCAGATGCCATCCATTCATTTTTAAAATATATCCTGGGCCAGGCGAGGTGGCTCACGCCTGTAATCCCAGCACTTTGGGAGGCCACGGCGGGTGGATCACCAGGTCAAGAGATCGAGACCATCCTGATCAACAAGGTGAAACCCCGTCTCTACTAAAAATACAAAAAAATTAGCTGGGCGTGGTGGCGCATGCCTGTAGTCACAGCTGCTTGGGAGGCTGAGGCAGGAGAATTGCCTGAACCCAGGAGGCGGAGGTTGCGGTGAGCCGAGATCCTGCTATTGCACTCCAGCCTGGGTAACAAGAGCAAAACTCCATCTCAAAATAAATAAATAAATAAAAATAAAATATATCCTGAATTCAGAGCCTGAGGAATTTCTCCTGATGTTCCGCTGTTTTCTCAGGAGATGAAGGTGAAGTGCCTGGTGCCACATGGCTGGCTTGGGGATGTTGTGCGTGGGTCAGGCCTTGCCCTCTAACAGGAGGGACTGACTTGCCTGAACCCCGCTTTGCCTGTTTGAACGCAAGTGCTCACGGGCATTGGGGCAACCATGCCAACCCCTTCAGGCTTCATCACCCTGCACGTCACGGGCATTTGGCTCACCCGGGAGAGGGGCCAGGGCCAACCATGAGGCCCATGCCTGCCCTTATCGGCCCAGAACCCACCTCCACTTCACCCAGAAGCTCAGTCCGTAGGAGTCAGCCCCTGCCACCTGACATTCTGGAACATGCCAGTGTGTTCACATGTGCACGCGTATACATACACATGTCCACGCAGGCACACACCACATGTGCAGGGACAGTCTTCACCATACGCATGCTCACATGTACACACATCCCAGCACACACACGTGCACCTGAAGACTAAGGGGCAGCCTGGGCGGTCCTACAGGGGCAGCCCCGTTAGGAAATGGGTTTGGGACAACATCTCTTCAAGTCTCTTCTGAGCATGATGCCTGAGAACCCGAGTGGTTCAGGTGGCTCACACAGAGGCAGGCTTTGTGGAGCAAAAAGCCCCGCTTGAAGACAGTGTCCCCAGGGCTAAGGAACTTAAGGAGGAAATCACCCCGTCCTGTGAATTCTGAGCAAGCTGGTGATGTGGCCTGAGCTTTGCTTTGCTGCTGGATGTGAGCTCTTCTGTGGTACGTGAGGCTGGGCAGGAACTGTCCCATCGTGGATACACTAGACGGACGTGAACCTCAGTCATCCCTTGTGTGGCCAGGGGGGCTCTGAGGGTGCATGCACACACATGCATAAACAGGCACACATATGCACACAGTGCACACAGATGCATACACATATGCACAAACAGGCACACAGTGCACACACATGCATATACACGTGCACACACATGCATAAACACACACATGCACACAGTACACACACGTGCACACACATGCATACACATGTGCACACACGTATGCATAAATAGGCACACACGCACAGAGTGCACACAAATGCATACACACTTGCACAAATGCATAAACAGGCGCACATGCACACACATGCATAAACAGGCACACATGCACACAGTGCACACACATGCATACGCATATGCACAAACAGGCACACAGTGTACATACATGCATACACACGTGCACACATGCACAGGCACACACAGAGCACACATGCATACACATGTGCACACACATTCATAAACACACATGCATAAACACAGGTGCACACATGCACACACATGCATAAATACAGGCACACACTGCACACACGCATACACACGTGCACACACATATGCATAAACAGGCACACACGCACACAGTGCACACATGCATAAACACAGACACACGCACAGTGCACACACATGCATACACGTGCACACACATATGCATAAACACAGACACAGTGCACACACATGCACATACATATGCACAAACAGGCACACTGCACATATGCACAAACACAGGCACACAGTGCATACACATGCACAAACAGGCACGCATGAACACAGTACACACACATGCACACACACATTCATGTACACCAGCAGGTGCTTGTCCTGCGCTGAGCCTCTGGGGGATGGACAGGACCAGTCACAGGTGCAGGTACTGGAGGACAAGGCCACAGAGGGCTCTGAGTGCCTTTGGCAGTTGCCCTACAGTCAGTCCTAGCCTCTCACACGTGCCAGGTGGAGCGGCTCCAAAGTCTTAGGCCCCACACACGGGAAATGCCAGCAAGGCCATGCCATCTAAACGCCCATCACAGGCGTGAGCTCACTTCACAGCTACCGGCGCAGCCTCTGCTTGAACCCAGCCAGGTCCCAGCATGCCTCTGCCATCTGATTGGCCCATTCCATCCATCACGGATGGGGAGCAGAAGTGTGCTTCTGTGGGACAGCGTGTTATAGGGCGAGGCTTGGATTTGGGAGTCTGGAGGCCTCTAGACAAAAACCCCAAACTCGCTCCTTAGGACCTGTGTGGCCCAGGTTCTTAGCCTCCGTGCGCTTCTGTGTTCTAGTCCGTTAAGATAGCCCTGGTTATCGGGGCCCAGTGTCCCCTCTGAGCTTAGGCAGTGACTGACAGGTGCTGAGCAAGTGGCTGCTGTCCCTGCAGACCCGGGAGTGTCCGTGGCCTGAGTCTGCCTTGGACCCTGCCTGTGCCAGCCTGGAGGGGAGGGGCTGTGGCAGCAGCCTTTGCTTCCCCTCCCCCTGGAATCTTTCATGAGCCCCAGTGTCTCCTCCTCCCCATTGTTCATCTTTTTCTGTCACTTTTTAAGCCCTTTTCATCTGGAGGCAGTGATTCACACCTGTAATCCCAGCACCTTGGGAGGCCGAGGCAGGAGGATCCCTTGAGCCTAGGAGTTCAAGACCAGTCTGGGCAACATAGCAAGACTCCATCTCGCAAAAAAAAAACAACTTTAATTGGTCAGGTGCAATGGCTCCTGTAATCCCGGCACCTTGGGAGGCCGAGGTGGGAGTAGCACTTAAGCTCAAGAGTTTGAGACCAGCTTGGGTAACATGGTGAGACCCCGTCTCTACTAATAAATAAGTAACTTTTATATATTTTTATATATGTATTTTACATATAATATATATATGTATGAATATGTCTGCACACGGTGGCTCACAACTGTAATCCCAGCATTTTGGGAGCAGAGGTGGGCAAATCACCTGAGGTCGGGAGTTCGAGACCAACCTGGCCAACATGGTGAAACCCTATCTCTACTAAAAATACAAAAATTATCCAGGTGTGGTTGTGGGAGCCTGTAATCTCAGCTACCCAGGAGGCTGAGGCAGGAGAATCCCTTGAAACTCGGAGGTGGAAATTGCAGTGAGCCGAGATCACGCCACTGCACTCCAGCCTGGGCCTCAGAACGATACACCATCTCACAAATAAATGAATAAAAAGTTTATATTATAGTAGCTGAGCATAATGGTGCACGCCTGTGGTCCTGGCTACTGGAAGACTGAGGTGGGAGGATTACTGGAGCCCAGGGGGGCAGGGCTTGCAGTGAGCCAAGATCATGCCACTGCACTTCAGCCTGGGTGACAGAGCAAGATCCTGCCTCAAAACAAACAAACTAAAAGCCAGGTGGGGTGGTGTGCACCGGCAGTCCCATCTGCTTGAGAGGCTGAGGCAGGAGGATCACTTGAGCCCAGGAGGTTGAGGCTGCAGTGAGCGGTGATTGTGCCACTGCACTCCTGCCTGAGCAACACAGTGAAATTCTGTCTGAAAAAACAAGCAAGCAAACAAAAAGAATCCTTTTGCTGGACTGGGCCGACCTTACAGGTGCAGTGCAGTTCACCCCTTAGCATCTCTGAGGTGCATGTCCCCCTGTCCCTCCACACGGCTGTGACAGTGCTGCTCTTGTGCAAAGTTGATAGCACAGGGCATGGTGACCGGCACCACCCTCACCCTCGAGGCACACGAGGAGGGTGGGCTCCTGACCAGCCTCAGCAGGACTGTGCCCACCCAAGCAACACCCCAAAGCCAGGGCTGGGGCTGCAGCTCCTCAGAACAGTGGGCAATCGTTACA